TGTTTTATTGATTGCATATAATATTCTACTTTTCTGAGATGTGGATTTGGGGTTTTCATGAGCTGTACACCATAATCATCACAATTATGACAAATCACATCTTGTACTCTCTTGCTTTGCATGTAGTGAGTCTTATCTCATATATTAGTTTCACCTTTTAAGTTGCATGACTGAAATAAATGAACTTTTGCACGATATTCTAATTTTTTTGAGTTTCACCTGTATTAGAGAAGATAGTAGAAAAGGTGAGAAGGATTATAGTAAAACAGCTATACTAATGGGTAAATGTACATAGACATAAGACATTAAGGAACAGAGAAGTTCTACAGAGCTCTCGCCTTTTTTTAAGTGATTTTTCTCCTTCCTTCCTAGACACAACCGAAGAACCAGCCCCACCTGCCACCAATACAATCGGCTCCGTCATCGGTGTGATCCTTACGGTGTTTGTCGTTGGTGCTATGTACTTCGTTTGTCAGAGAGTGCTGTGCCCACGCATGAAAGGAGATGGAGAAACAATGACCAATGACTACGTTGTCCATGGACCATCTTCTGTGCCTCTGGGTTATGTGCCTCACCCAAGCTCCCTTTCTGGATCTCTTCCAGGTCAGATTTATACAGGTAGTCCTCAATTTACAACAGTTCATTTAGCGACCTTTCAGTTGTTAACAATGGCACTGGGGGGAAAAAGTGGCTTATGTCCATTTTTCACACTTATGACCTTTGTCGCATTGAGGAATCCAGCAAACATTTTGCTAGTTAAGAAAAAGTCCAGCGTGGCTTGGAAATCTTGTAAAAAGGCTACAGATTTGTGACTTGCATTTGGGAAGGCAAAAGTGTCACATCAATTGCATCTCTTCCTTAGTGTGTAAAATTAGAGGAGAGGGCAAACAGATTCTTCAGCGACACCTTTATTGTGGTCTCAAGTTCTCTCCTTCCCCAGAATGCCTCCATTGGTCCTGGAAAATCCATCTTCAGAATGGCCTCTGCGTCATTGTGATCATAAAGCACACAGGACTCCTTTTAAATTAGGTTGGGCGTATGATGCTTAAATAAATATATTTTCTTCTAAGTCTTTTGACTGTATTCCCTGGGGTTTTCTTTAGGAATGTCCCGTGGTAAATCTGTGATCAGTTCACTTAGCATCATGGCAGGAAGCAGCGGCCCACCTTATGACCGAGCTCACGTCACTGGGGCGTCCTCCAGCAGCTCCTCCAGCATCAAAGGAACCTACTTCCCTCCAGTAAGAGACCTTTTTTTTTGGCATCTAAGTCGGAAAGATTGATTCTCAACACAAACTGAAGCAATTCAGTAAAGTTGATGGAACCATATGAATAACATGGGAGAAAATGTAACCTTAAAGTTTGCATGAAACGTTGGGATTAACCATATTGCCCTATCATACTTCCCGTTCTTGGCAGCATTTTATGATGAACAGCATAATCTCGTTACTTATATTCTTTCACAAACACATTATACTGGTGTTTTAATCTCACTTTCCTCCCTCCCTCTCTATTTCCTCCCTCCCTCTCTATTTCCTCCACCCTCCCTCTCTTCCTCTTTCCTCCCTTCTTCCCAACCCTATTTCCTCCCTCCCTCCCAGCCTATTTCCTTCCTTCTTCCCTTCTTTTTTCCCTCCCTCCCTATTTCCTCCCCCTCTCCTTCCCTCCCTATATCCTTCCTTACTCACTCTCACACACACTTAAAAGGATCCAATTCCATCTGAAAGTATCAGGGACACAGCATACAAATTAATCTGAACATGGTTAGAATCCAAAGGGGAAAAGATGGCTTATAGTTACAGCAAGGGGAAAGAAATCTAGATTTAAATGTAATAAACGAAAAGAAAATACCTCTACAAAAGCAGCGCTGTAATATGTAGTAGTAAACTTCCGTTTGGTGTTCAGTACGGATGGCCTTCCTGGTGTGGAGAAAAAGGTTTCCTTGGAACAAATACGGTGCGTCTCTTAAAGCTGACACTCCCTCTATTCTCCCTTTAAAGATTTTGAACCCGCCTCCATCACCAGCAACAGAGGACTCCCGCTACACAATGGAATTTGGTTACTCGTCCAATAGTCCGTCTACGCACAGGTCATACAGGTAAGACCATGTCCCCACTCTGAGTTTTGTACTACTTGCCTGATAGGTTCAGGATATTTCCTGGCAGCGATTTGCGTTGCATCTGGACAAAAGAAGACCCAAGTGACCAGGCTTTCTGTTGAAGGCATGAAATTCTGCTGTCTTGATTGCTGGTTCAACAATCAAAGCAGTGTTCCAATATCTCAGGGGTTGCCACAAAGAAGAGGGAGTCAAGCTATTCTCCAAGGCACCTGAGGGCAGGACAAGAA